GAAAGTGGAAAACCAAGTGGAGGCTCCATTAAATCAGGTGGATTCAAATGTTTTTCACTTAGTCTTCGTGCCGGGCTTAACAGGTAACCAATAGTTGCAGGGCTTATGATGCAATAATGTATGCACTTAATGCCTAAAGGGCGAGCCAATGCTGGTAACCAATGAGCAAAATCAAAGAAAACAAAATTAGGTTTGAGGTCTTTAAGAAAAGCTTCAATGGTGGGTTTTGTGAGATCCATGGCTGCCATGATTAGAGACTGCATGGAATATGGGACATCTGCAGTTGTTTCAGCGCCGGGAGGGAGGCCATCCACGTGTGGAACATTGACAGAGATGAAGTTGATGAGGTCTGGATGGAGATTGAAATGCTCTAATTTAGGTTGTGTATTGTTGGGTATGAAGAAAGAGATTTTGTAGCCTCTCTCGGCAAGTTTGTTGGAGATATGAAGATGGGCAGTGAGGTGACCCAAGGCAAACCATGGGTACATAACTATGTGAAAGGCTTTGTTTCCCATGTATGAATGGTGCGTGAGCGCAACGATCCTTTTACAAAGTGCACACTCCTTTGCAAGTTACTGTAATTTCAAAAGGGGAAGATCCTGCAATTCATACATCACTCATCACAAAAAGCACTGCCTTATTTAAATGATTGGAACCATTTACAAAACATGCTTAAATTAAGAAAGGGCATTTAAAATTAACTTATACATAGCATATGAAAAACTATATATATATATATACACACACACTTGTACATTCATAACTCCAACGAAAAGCTCAAACTATAGCAAGTGTTGATATTTGGCCAAATCCTGCATACATATTGGAACCACTTAAAAATGCCATCCATTTTGCACAAAAATGGCCAAAAGAATCCCCAACTAAGTAAAAATTAAGGATATGCTTAGTTTGTCGCTCATAAAACAGTCAACAACTTATAAATAAAGAAATTATTTTCAAAAAACTATAAAAGACAATTTTTTGAAAACATATATCTTTTTCTTAACTGAGTTATCCTATGTGTCTAAGATTATCATGGATATTAGATTGAAAGTGTGTTGCTATCTTGTCAAGGCAATTTTAGGGATCAATTTTAAGAGAAACTGGAACATTCTTCAGTTTAAGGGATCAATTTTAGTTTCTACTTTCTAGATTCCTCTGTTCCTCAACATCAAAATTGATATATATATATATATATATATATATATATGTATGTATGTATCTACAGATTACACACTACACACATACATATCCCTGTCCCTAAATCTGCAGAATAATGAAACAAGAGAGTGGAGAGGAGAGTGCATACCTTTACCGTGTAATTTGGAAGACTTGGCTTTTGAGAGAGGTCTACTAATTTTTAAAACGGAGAGAGTAGCAGTAATGATGCCGGACACTACATTTTGTAGTTCAGACTGCCTTCCTCACATATTAATAGTCTTACTTTCAGAGTAAACTTTTTTTTCTCACATATTAATAGCCTCTCATAAACACATTTATCTTACTTGTGACTTTTTTTAATGGAACAATTATTTTTAGAAAAGTCAAAAAGAAAAGGCCGACTACTATCTTTTAAAAATGAGGGACGTGTATCCCTTAATAGACACAAAACAAACCTACCAAGTTATAAAAAATGTCATGAAAAAACCCATGATTGCAACTGTTTGCTAACTGTTTGATGAAATAGATATGGTGTGTCATAATTGTCATTTGTCTGTTGTAAATAAGTGCACGGAAATTAAATTGACGTGTCAAAGTGGTGGCCCACTTTTGAAGTTCTGAAGAGAGAAATAGTAGGACACATTGCAAATGTCGGTCAATTACATGTCAGAAAAAATAAATAAAACTCTCACATCTCTATGTCATTTATTGATGTGTCACAAGTTTATTATTATTATTATTTATTTTTTTTGGGCATAAAAATAGAGATTTGTTAGTCTATTGGGCTCGCTGAAAAGTGGGCTAGCAATTTTGGGTCGCCAACAACGGCGACCCTGTTAGTAAATCAGAATTTTGAAAGTGGAATGAAAATTTAGTTTAATTTAAGAAGAAAATAATAATTTCAAGACTCCAAAAAAGAACTAATTTTTTTTAATTTCAATATCAATACTCTAATTTGGTTCTCCCAAACATAGCTTTAAGGTATGTGTGTGTGTGTGTATTTGGACGTAAGGTATATGTATATTCAGCCAATGCTCAAATGTTGTAAAATTCAATTCTGTACGGTAGTTTTATGATTTTTTATGAGGGGCTAGGATCCCACATGCTAATAAGAGTCATTAATTATATAGTGGGGCAAAAATTATTATTGAAACAGAAAGATTTAAAAAATTACAGATATTTGTACAAATTTTGATTATATAATTATTGTTGATTTGGACAATTGATGGCTGATATTAAAAATCAAAGCATATCTAGTTTCATGGAAACCATATACCGTGCGTGGCATACACTTACCTTTTTTTTTAGTGAAATGCAGTCCTTTTAACTGAAAGCTCTGCCCGAACAAAATAGCACCCGTAGGAATCCAATTTCAATTCAATTCGCTCATTTGTCACCTCTATAACCATGTATTGTTAAGAAGTGAAATTTTTTGAATTTTTAATTACGGTATTTTGCTTGAGATTATAAGTGCAAAGGTATACATTGCCCTAATTTTTGTTGATCTATCCACTGCAGAACTTTAGCCATTGTTGATCTCAATTATCAAAACTTTAGTCACGTAAAGAAAATCAATAAATCAACTAGTCTAAACCTGAAAATATAAACAGAGAAATAAATAAATCTAATTAACAAATAATTTAATAAATAAAAAACCACATTATTAATCAATAGGATTATACGAATACCGTGTGTGTGGTGAAAAACTAATACAATTGGTATTTAAAAAAAAAAATCTAATTAAAGAATTAATACATAATTTAAACATTGAAAAAAGAGAAAAATCATTCATGTACTAATTCATGGACAGTTACATTATAACAATTCCAAAATATATCTACTATAATAAAATAAAAATACCAATCAATTCATGATTTTCTTTTTTAAAAAAAAAACCTATTATGTATCAATGTATTCAACCAAGAGATGAAAAATTCAAGAGAAAGCAAAAATATTTGTTCTTAAAAATGATAGAGAGATTATATATATAAATACACATATGTATGTATAAAAATATTATATGTATTTTAATTATCGGAAGAAAAAAATATATTATATGTATTTTAACGATTATTTGTTAGTGAGAGCCTTATTTGAGAATGAAGGACTTCCATTGCCTCATCAGTGTTTGGAGGGTGGAAGGTGAACTCTGGATTATTTCCAAGTCCGTAGGGTGGAAACTTCAATCAGGTGAGAAAAATTATAATAAAAGAAAAATACCAATCAATTTATGAATTTCTAAAAAGACCTATTATGGGAGATGAAAAATTGTTATTGAGTGAAATAATATTATAGGAATGCATACACGTGTGTTTTTATTGAGAGCCTTACTCTCAATAACAATTTCAATTTTAATTAATTATTAGCAATAATGACAAACAATCATATAAATTGTATTAAACAATGAAATTGTTAAGCTTTTCAATTTCTTGCTTTAAAAGCAAAACATATCATTAGATTTAAAAATTATAAAAAAAATGTTAAGAAATTCAAAAAATAACCAACTAGTCCTTAAAAATGTGAGAGAGAGAGAGAAAGGGACGTTGTAACTAATGGGTAATTTTAAGAGGTGAAAGAATTTTAATTAATTATTAGACAATAATGACAAAAAAAATTATATAAATTATATTAAACAATCATCATAGAAATTGTTAAGCATTTCAATTTCTTGCTTTAAAAGCAATCAATATCATTAGATTTAAAAATTAGAAAAAATGTTAAGAAATTCAAAAAATTGCTTACACTGTTAGAATGGTAAAGATATAGGTATAAATTTTGATACATTTTTTATGGGTAAAGTACAAGAAACAATATAGGTTTTGTGCACAATGCCTCCCTCCATTTTTAAACACAAGCATTGTTAGTTCCTATTTTTTAAAAAGGTGCATTTCAGTCTATATTTTTCAAAAAATGTTCAAATAACCCCATCTAACCACTTTTTGACAAAAAAATAAATCTGAAAATCCAATTTTGACCTTTTTTTTCTTTCCATAATGTGTATTTATATAATACTTAAAAAACATGAAAATCAAATTAAACATTACAATTTATGGAGAAAAAATTAAACATTATACACCTTTAAGCTCCGACGTAAAATATTTTCTTTTTTCAGGTAAAATATTTTCTTTTATTTTTATTTTTTAGTGTCAGGCAAGGGTCTAGGTGGAGTCCATCCGGTGAAGCATGTAAAATAACTTAGCGAAAATTGATGAATAAGTTATTTTTGTTAGATTTTTTTTTTTCGTAAATATTTTACAACAACCAAACACCAGAATAAATATATATATATTACATTCAAACAACCATAAACTGAAAAAAAATAATAATAATAATAAACATTACACAAAATAATGGTAAAATGAAATGCAATTGCTCTTTTCTACATAGTGTCTGTGTGTGCATAAATCATTGCGATAATAGTGGTGGATGAGACATTTGAATAGGGAAAAATTGAACCTATAAAAGTTGTGTACCATGCTTTTAACAAAGGATCATGTAATATCATTGTAGTAATAAATGTGGGCAAGTGTTTAGGGTTAGAAAATGCAAATTTTTATTTTTTTCCATTTATGATTTAATGACTAATAGCATAGTAAAGTTATTGTTTGGCTAGATTAATGGATATCACAGTGCCAGCATCATAAGGAAAATATATGGCCAAGGATTTGTGTCCTTTGTTTAGTCATTTGACATTACTTGCATGTTTTAATATTATTGTATTCGTCTGGCAAAAGAATTTTAGAGTAGCTATTTAGAGGGGTATTTGCACCAAATTAAAATTGTAAGAGGGTTTTAAACTACGTTGAGACTTTTTTGCACTATATTTATACTATTGAATATTTTTTTTTTTTGCACTTTACCCTTTTATTATTGAATTGTTACACAAATAAAAACTCAGATTTTTAATATAAAATTTTCATTTAGGACGATTTAAAAGTTGTAAGGTTCATTTATTAGAGCCAGAATTTTTGTTGGTAAGACAAATTAACAACTAATGTCAAAACAGGACTTGGACACATGATTTTATATACCTTGTAACCAATCAGTAAAACCAGCATAACCTAAATAACAAAATTCAGTTCCAAAGAAGACTAGCATGCTTCTGTAGATGCTCATCAAATTCTCCCACCCAACCCAAATCTCTTGTTTATTTATTTATTTATTTATTTTACACAAATAAAGGAAAAACGGACTACAAGCCACTACGTACAACTATCAACAAACAGAGCTTCCCTTACACAACTGGGAAGAGTACTCCAATAAGGATTAGAGGTTCTAGCCTGAAGAGCCAACCTCATTGCATTTTCTAGGAAACCAAATCATATAAATATATATATATATATATATATATATATATATATATATATAGTGAAATATCAAACTGACTCATTAATATTCCAAAAGACCATGCAATTTTTGAATAAAACTATCAATATAAGAGCTCTCAAGCCCCTCGCTTAATAAGAAGTCCTTCCATTTTGCATGGTTAGCCATTACCTCCTTCCCTACTTCACCATCAACATTCATTATCAACCTTATTGCCTTGCACACACCCTCCCTAGTAAAATTACCATCCTCTTCACCCTTCTCAACCTCCACTCCAACTTTCAAATCCCCACCCATCAATCTTGCATTGATGATTTGATCACCCACATGTGGTATTAGCACCAACTGGCAATCATTCACCATAGCTTCCGACAACGAACCCGAACCGCAGTGGGTCACAAAGCAGCCCACTGAAGGGTGTCCCAATATCAGCTGTTGCTGAACCCAACCACCATGAACCACTCCTCTCTCTTCAGTCCTCCTCTGAAACCCTTCGGGCAAAGCCGATTCAATCGTTTCAGCCCCCACAGGTGTTTTTAGGGCAGCGAAAAAGGGCATACCTGTTAGCTCCAAACCAACAACCAGTTCTTGAAACTCATCCTTTTTAAGCATACACTCACTTCCAAATGTACAGAAAATGACAGTCTTAGCTTTGAAATTGTCCAGCCACTTTGCCCATTGCTCTTCTAGGGTTGAAGTTGGCTGCTCTGGCACAACTGGCCCAGCTAGTATCACCGGCTTCTTGAACTGCTTTTCAAGGTAATCACTGTAAGGACCTTCAATCTCATTACAACTTTTAAAACAAATGGCATCACATTCAGTGAACGAGGTTAAAAGACGTTGTGTGAAGGACACACCTATACCATACTCTTTTACAGTTGCATTGCTTAGTTCACGAGCTTCGTGGGCACTTACCTTTATAGATGAAAGTGGAAAACCAAGTGGAGGCTCCATTAAATCAGCTGGATTCAAATGTTTGTCACAGAGTCTTCGTGCTGGGCTTAACAAGTAACCAACAGTTGCAGGGCTTATGGTGCAATAATGTATGCACTTTATGCCTAAAGGGCGAGCCAAGGCCGGTAACCAATGAGTAAAATCAAAGAAAACAAAGTCAGGTTTGAGGTCTTCAAGACAAGCTTGAATGATGGGTTTTGTGAGATCCATGGCGGTCATGACTAGAGAATGCAATGGATATGGAACATCTGCGGTGGTTTCAGTGCCGGGAGGGAGGCCGTCAACGTGTGGGACATTGACAGAGATGAAGTTGATGAGGTCTGAGTGGAGATTGAAATGCTCCACCTTGGGCTGTGTATTGTTGGGTATGATGAAAGAGATTTTGTGGCCTCTCTCAGCAAGTTTGTTGGAGATATGAAGATAGGAAGTGAGGTGGCCCATGGCAAACCACGGGTACATAGCTATGTGAAAGGTTTTGTTTTCCATGTATGAATATGTGTGTGTTTGTGTGTGCAGTGATCCTTTTACAAAGGGTACACTCCTTTGCAAGTTACTGTAATTCCAAAAGGAGAAGATCCTGCAATTCATACATCACCGATCACAAAAAGTGGAGATTGCATCATCAAACGATGAAAGTGGATCATTATAGGTGATTTTCAACTGGTCATCCAATCTCCACCCTTAATAAAGTACGACACTCTCATCCTTGCTCCCAACAAAATGGACAAACTATAGCCAAGTGTTGATACTTGGCCAAATCCTCCCCTACATAATAGTACGTCCCATCAATTTTACACAAAAATGGCCAAAAGAATCCCAAAATTACATTGAAATTAATGTTCTTCATTTACAGAATATGCAAGAACATTTACAGAATATGCAAGAACAATGAAAGGACCTCATGAGCAACCATGAAAAGAAATGAACTCTCTCTCAAATTGAGATGAAAATTCCACATTCTTAATTAATCATTGTTCCTCCACATCAATATAACATATGTAAGCGCGCATATTATACACACACATAAATATCACTGTTCCTAAATATGCAGAATTATGAAACCAGAGAATGGAGAGTGCATATATATATTACCTTTACCGTGTAACTTGGAAGGCCTCGGCTTTTGAGAGGGGTCTCCTAGTTTTTTAGAACGGAGCAACAATGATGCTGATCAACCATAAAAACATACATTTTATTTCCCTTTTTTAGTAGGTTATATATAGAAAAGTTGGAGGGAAGTTGGGGATCTGTTGCTTATTTAAATTGTTTTGGTAGGTAATTCTTTCTTTCTTTTTTTCTATAATAAGTAGGTAATATTTTGTTGCTTCACAAATAAAGAATGATGAGATCTAACCGAGCAAGTAATGATAACATCATCATACATTAAAATACTTATCATTATTCATTTCTTAAACAAAACTATAACCAAAATGATTCTTCAGCAGTTTTCTCTAACCGAATGGTTTCTTGCATCAGTTCTCTAGTAAAAAATACATGCCTTTGATTTATTTATTTTTGTTTCACAATAAACACGAAAGTCTCATTTGCCCCTCACTTCTTAATGTCTCAAGTAAAACCTTAATAGCAAATGATAAGAGGAATGCTGTGATGAAACAGAAAACATCACAACTCTTAACAGCAGATAAATAGCGAACATGTATACTTTGATCATTGATGGCCATACAAATAAGTCTACACGAGCATTTTACATACCCAACAACTAGAAATTGCAAATTGCTGCTAATATATATATATATGTATATCATAACCAGTGTTTCTCTATATAATTAGTATCATAGTCTTAAATTCCAAATGAGATTTGGAGGATGTCACATGTATATTATTGCATTCACCATTCCTAGTCTGTTTTAGTGTGTTCATCATATAGAACAACGGGTCAGCAAAAAAATTGTAAAGGTAGCCACTTGTAAACCATCATCCACCGGTTAGAATATGCTCACTTATCTCAGTCAGATTTCGGCACTGTGCCTCCAGGGAACAAAGAAAAATGCATCATGTCCTCATGTGACCAAGAAACATCAGATTGATGAGAGACAGAAGACTGAATGATATGATAGAGAAGAAAAGAAAGAGAGACTCAACTGCTATAGCAAAACCATTTGGCTGGACCAACAAAAAGTGCTGCTTATTCCATATGCATCCAAGTTTCTTCAACTACGTCAAGTAATAGCCACTCGGATTGTCGACAAGGTAATCATATGGTGCACCAATTCCATAATCAAAACCTTCACTTGTAGGTGCCATTTGCTTTGGAGCAGAATAGACATTTCCAACACCATCCCTCAAATTACCTTTTGTCCTCCCCTTGAGGGAGGGCTTTCTGTCCAAGGGAAACTCAGCAGTAAGCCTTCTCATCTGCTTCTGCAGATCAACAACTGAATCGTTTGTAATTTTTCCTTTTGGACTCTTCTTCCCATCAACCAGCTTAAATTCCAACCTATACAAGGCACAAACATCACACTTGTCGATCTCGTACTCATAAAGATGCCATTCACAATTTTTCATTGGTTGCGGATCCATATAATAAGATCTCTTCAACCCTCCAAACTCATTCATCACTTGCTTCCTTGACTCATGCCAGCCACGCCCATTATAATCTGGTAATGACCTTTGCTTTCTATTTCCGCTCTCAAATGCTCTTCGGGGCTTATCAAAAAAGAGCCACTCCCTGATTGTCTCACCCTCAAGTACTGAAAAATCAAAGAGCTCTGCAATAACACAAGGGAGTCGATTGATCATACAAAACTCACAAATAAAATCATTAACACAACTTCTTTCCCAACTTAATGGGGGAGAAAAAGTTAATAACTGAACAGACCTTGAGACATTTACAAACTTACCGGGAGCATTCCAGGGGGACTTTGAAGTTGCTGCTCCCTCACATTCTGGAATACCAACATGTTTTCCTTGTGCTTTGGCCCTAAGAGCATTGAAAAGCACTGGATCTTTCACGCCAATACCACCAGGTCTCAGAACTGGCGTCATACCAGGTGGACCTTCATTCAGTGCAAGTGCTCCATGAAGGCTACTGCAATAGTCTTGACACCAGGCCAATCCTTGAGCAGGCCTGTTACAATCCCAAAGCGCACATTTCGGCCCCAAGAAAGCAGAAGGTGGAGGGCAAATATTTGGCAGAAAAGCAGAGATCTGAGGGATAGCATCCTCACCACAAAGACCCGAACCATCAAAACAGAAAGAGTCTGCTCAAAGTCTTGATGGAAATCAAAAGCATGATAATCCAACTGAGTCCCCCCCCCCCCCCCCCCCCCCCCCCCAGTCCCCGACCACCCCCCCTGTAAACTCCTGAAGGGGATTCTCTGCATTGATCAACCAACTGAAATCCTTGTTGCTGTGGCCCCTGATTCACACCAAAGCACTGCTGTATAATCCAAAGCACAACTTGTCAGTAAGTATCCATTTAAAAGCCTTACAGACATGCTGGAGATAAAGAAAAGTCGTTAAAACAACACGAGACAGAGAGAAAAAGTTTTCAAAGCTTGTTGATTCAAATTGCAGAATAAAGAGGAAAAGAAACATTCTGAACACACAACCACAATAAAAGTAAACTCTTTTCACTCTTACGCACAACGGACAAAGCAAATTAAGAAGCTGGGAGTAGGGGAGATGGAATAACTATTTGCATATTAAATGGTTTTAACTTGGAAGAGAGAAAATTTGCTACTATCTAGAGAAATAAATATAGCAGAAAATGGGAATTGGATGCGTATGGGTAGGGCTTATGGTAATATAAGTGTTAAGAAAAGGAACTGATGTAGTATCTATAAAAAAAATGGACCTTCAACCTTGATATAAAACAAAGAGAAACAGGAAGAGAATGGCTTAAGGCTTGCTGATTTGAGTTGCAGAATAAAAAGGAAAAGAAACACTCTAAAAGCATAACCACAGTAGAAAAGCAAACCCTCCCCCCTCCCTCTCTTTATGGAAAAGGTAAACTGAAGAGTAGATAAAGGTCAGAACTTAATTACACAACCAGGTGAGAAATTATAAGCACTGCCAAGAATTAAACAGTATTTAAAGTTAACAAGTCCCTCAAAGATTAAAATAAAGAGCCCATCAAAAGCTGGATATCATGTATAAGCAGTGTGCAAGTGTATGCCAGTGAATATAGAATGAGACCGTGAAAATAAGGAACTCTTTGGTAACTGGAGAAGAGCACTTGAATTCTTATATAGAAGAATAAAGGCAATATTCCAAAACTCACAAGCATTATAGGCCAAAACTAATTTTATTTGAAAATAGAAAACGAAAAAAACCAACTAAAAATCAACTAGACTTTATACCAGAAGGATCAGCAACATAAGTTATTTTATAACAAAATTTGTTCGCGGAAAGTTTCTGGAAATGAAGAAAGACCCTTTTATTAAATTATTAAATTCAACTATGGACTAGAAAATGCAGTAACCTTGAAATCGAAGTAGTACCAAACTAAAAAAATAGATGTGACCAATAAGATAAATGGAGTGCTAATTGGCATGAGAACGGTGAGGAGATGACCAAGTGAATTTCCAACCACAACAGGTCATTGCAAAAAGTCCTTGTCCAATTTCATTGCTTGAGTACAGAGTTATAATATTAAAGAAAATATCTCATAGTGCATGATCAAAGACGGAGAAATTTTTAGATGGTCCCGGGACCATTGGTCCCGGCAAATTACCATTTGACGCTTAAGCAAAAAGCTGAAAAAACTTGCAAATTTCTGACACAACTGCGTATATGTCCAATGGTGATTCGCCCGGGACCATGTAATTACTTCTCTCAAACATGATTTACTTTTAGCCAATTATAGTATAGGATAACTAGTGACCTAGAATAATAGGGATGTGTATTCTAGGGTAACAGAGCTAAGAACATAAATAATTATCAATTGGTAAAGTTAAGAGTTGCATATGAGGGCAGAGATTCATGGCTCTGAAACTCATTGAAATTGATTAGGTCATGCATAATAAACACCAATTATTGCATGGTCAACACCTTAAAGGAGCAATATAATTCATAGCAGAAGAGATTATACAGATAAGGTTTGGTTAAGCCTGTCAGCAAAGCCATTGGAACTGCAATTTGACCAAAGATTTGGCCCTAGATAGGGTTAGTGAAATACGATTATTTGAGCCAGGGACATAACACATAGTTGTTAAGTGTTATGCATGGGAAAAAGGGGTAAACAAAACTATAACAGCTTCGCATGAAACAATCAACCAAAATGTAGAGACATAATTAATTAATATGTTACAACTTTCAAACTAGAAAGCAAAACAAAACAAAAGAAACTAAGATCACACACGTTTAGCAGTAACAACAATTCAAAAGGGTGGCATAAGAACAGAACAGGGAGTTAAACCAGGCAGTCCAAAGTGCCTATTTTCTTCTTTTGGTTCATATATCTTGATGCTGAGAAACTAAGAAGCCTCATCTGGCATATAATGAACTATGAAAATGTAATGTTGCATATCTTGTTTCCATTAGACATAGAAACAGTGGTAGTGGAGAAAGTAAAAGAAATTCACACCTGCTAATTTAGTTCAAAGAAATTCAACATCACACGGCAACAAAAGATTTTTAGAGAAAGACCGGGAAATCTTTAATAGAATTTTTTTTTCTGTCCCCTCTTAATTATTCCAACATGAAATCCATGAATTCTTTAAGTTCTAAGGTTCCAAACCCGTCTACTTATAAATGAATGCTTCTTATGCTATTGGGGATGTAAAAAGCTTCAACAATGGATCTCTCTCTCTCTCTCTCTCTCTCTCTCTCTCTCTCTCTCTCTCTCTCAATATGTACGTGAATGGTACTCTCTCTCAATATATGTACCAAATTT